AGCAAAGGATCTTTTTCTCTGAGCAGCACATACATCAGAGCCCTCTACCAGTGCACACTGAGTACTTCCCTTCAGGTAATAAAGAGGGGAAATGACAAGGCCAGAGTTAAACTTAGCACAGTAAAAGTGCATCCTTTCTACATAGTGACTGGCCAGCAGGATACCTTAGATCCCTCCAGAGCTTGCTAATGCACAGACACCTCTGCTTAGAAAGTACGCGAGTTTAAAGATTTTATGGAACATGAGAGGGAGTCTAAGCCAGCAGCCAAAGATCAGATGGTGGCATGTTTCCAGGCCTTCTTGAGGTTTCAAGTCTTTTTATGCTGCCTTGAGTATATAAAACAGTGAGTTACACATGGCAAATCTGTGGAGTCCTGGATAAGCTACACTCTGTAATCCAATGATGTGGGGATTTTAAATTGGCATGGTTGTGCTGACTTGCTCTGTGGCTTGTTGTATTTTTCTGTTGCAGCCTTGGTAGTATCATGTTAGTCTATCAGCCCTACCTTGAGTAGAATAGAATAGAACAGAACAGAATAGTTCACTTGGAAGAGACCTACAAAGATTATCAAGTCCAATTTCCTGAGCGCTTCAGATCTAACCAAAAATTAAAGCGTATTACTGAGGGCATTATCCAAATGCCTCTTGAGCACTGAGAGCCACGGGGCATCCGGCATCTCTCCAGGAAGCCTGTCCTAGTGTTTGGCCACCCTCATGATAAAGAATTTTTCCTAATGACCAGCTTGAGCCTCCCCTGCTGCAGCTTTGTGCCGTTCCCACGCGTCCTGACATCCATTACTGGGGGGAAGAGACCGGTGCCTGCCTCTGCATTTCCCCTCCCCAGGGAGCTGCAGAGAGCCGTGAGGTCGCCCCTGGCCTCTTTTTCCCCAAACCAGACAAGCCAGGTGTCCTCACAGGACATGCCTTCCAGCCCTTCTACCAGCTTTGCTTCCCTTAGTAAGAGGCTGAATGTAGTTAAGATACTGTGCAGTCTGTGCCCAGCGTCATGCACACGAGAAAAAGCAGAGTTGCTGGGTCTCATCTTTCACTGCTTCAATGCAGATTCTGCTGACGAATCAAGGAGCCCTCCAAAGACCCAGCCGTCTTGTGTTCACAGACGTTGCCAATGCCATCAATGCATGAACAATACCTGCCCCTGCTCTGGGATTGTGCCGAGACTGGGGAGGATGGAGCCAACAAACCACTGACTTCTCACGAGCGTGGCTGAGTCCTGGAGCCCAGCTGGTCACTCTGCTGGTGTGCGGTACAGATGGGCACAAGCACTGGGAACAGTCGTCACTTTGGGAAGAAAACCCTTTGTGATGGCAGTAGCATTTTTCGATGTGTCCATTACTACTGAAGGGTTCTGAGCTGCCACGCTCTGGGTTCTGGGCTGGTGCTGACACCATCTACCAGGCCGCATGCTTAGGATCAGTGCCCACTTTGTTGTAGCATAACTTGTCGGAGCACACGTGGGAGTGCTCTGGGTCAGGGAGAGAGGAGAGGTGCATGCTTCACATGGCTTCCCTGTTGGGTTTGTGCCACCAGATCCCTGGGAAAGCAGTGAATGAGCCTCCCTGTGCAGATTTGGTAGGTCCTGGAGGGCTGACCAGTGGCAAAGCCTCTTTGAGCTGGGAAAGCTGACTCTCCTAGCTGAGCGGTAATCTGGGGCACACAAGGGAAAACACATACCGTGGGCTTATCCCGTTGTGGCACGGGTGATGCTGATAAATGTGAGCCTGGGCTGATGTTGCAGCATGGGGAATTCACTAGCTCTAACAAGTGAAATGGTGAACATTTGGCTGGTAACTTCTTAACTGAGGAGATGATCTGTGAATATCCCAAATCAGGGCTGCCATGTGTAGAGAGGGGATTTCACACAGCTAGAGGCAGGGCTGTCACATCTAGCTACACGACTCCCTGCCACTGACCTGGGAACACCAGTACCTGAGCCAGAGAGAGGAGTTGAGCACTGAAGAGAACTGGGGCTCTGCTACCACGTATCCCCTGGGCTTCAGCTCAGGGAAGTTTTTACAGTGCAGAGAGAAGATTAAGCCTTGATTTTTTTTCCTTTTGAATGAGGATTAACAGGTATTGGCTCCACATTACAACAGGTGTGCCTGGAGGTGGCTGAACATCTGGTTGCTTCCTTACCTGCTAGGACCTGCGGTCAGTCTTCTCCCTGCTGAAGGAAACAGAGTTTTGTGTTAGCCTTTGCTCGTGTTACCTGCTAGTGCAGAAGGTGGGTCTGGGCAGGTAAGCCAGCAGTTCCCCTGTAACCCTGAAGCACCCTGCTGCCTGCACATCCTTCAGGGCTGCAGGAGAGAAGAGTGTGAAGGGGTCTCTGGGCACCTTGGCATGCTGCAGTGCAGCATGAGGGCTGTCCTCCTCAGAGCCTCTGGTGGCCACCAGCCTAGAGTGCTGCTGGCCAGCACAGTGGCCAGGGGCTGGTGGCAGGGTCCAGGCTGGGCTCTCACACTGCAAACCAAGAGCATGGCAGAAAGGACAAGAGGAGGGTCCAGTACAACCACAGCACCAGGCAGGTGCCCCATCCTCCCTGCCCCTTTCCTCAGTCATGAAACTGCAGGGAAAATCGAAAGAAGGGATGTGTGCGTCTGTCCACCCCGTTCAGACATCATGATCTGGGGGAAAGGGTGCTCCTTTTTGCTAACCTGCTGCCAGGGATCGACCCTCACTCCTGGTTGGGTGGTAGCTTTAGATCCCTGGAGGTGAACGCACAAATCAAACCGTCTCACTGCTGTGGTAGTGGTGCGCAAGCATCAGTCCCCGGCTGCATACTACTCGCCTATTGATTTTTCTGCAGCACATGAATTTGTCAAATCCTATTCCATCCACAGCACCAGTTAAAAGGGAATGAGGGCCAGCCAAAATTTGAATGCAGATCTAAAGGTGAGCTTTATGCAAGGAAGTATTTCACTGAGTGGCAATTCAGGTATCATGTGCTTTGTTGCAAGTTTGGGCCTGCTAGCTAGCTTTTGTTCTCCCGGATCTTGTTTTTTTGCTTCCCACTGTGATTTTCTTTTGCTATTCACAGATGCAAACACTTTCCCGTGCACATGCCACTGACCCATGCTGCAGTGAACAGTTTCTCACCAGCTCTGCCTTCACTACACAGCTTCCCTCATGGCATTTTTGCAGGACTGAGTTGCTTTATTTTTTCAGTATCCCCCTTCCTTTTTAAAACTAGAGAGTTCTGAAAGTGTAGTAAGGCTAGGAGTGTCAGCACGTGTAGAAAATGGCCCATCCTTTATAACTGGTAGATACGGCAGGAGGCATTCCCAGCTTGCTGAGGTTTGCTCTCCAGGGAGACTGTTGGAAGGGGGTATGGGTACAAATACTTGGTGTTACCTGGTGTAGGTCCTTAGAATTTGGAGGCCACCATCTGTGGGTCTTCCCAGAGATTATGCTTACATGACCAGCTAAAAAAAGCAACCCCCATCCCACCCCTGCCTCAACTTACCGTCTCTTTATCTCCTCCGCATGCTCCCTGAGGACAGCCAGCCACAGAGATGTCAGATTTTTCCCTTCAGCAGCTGGCACATCATTGCCCGTCATGCTCCTGTGCTTTGCAGCAGGATGAGGACGCAAGCAGTGGCAATGGTGCATGCCCTAAGCTGCAAGCATTCAACCCCTAGAACTCTTAGTACTTGAACTTTGTTGTTATTGACATTTTACACTCTGTAAAAGGCAACCATAAGCTGGCTGTTGCCTCAGACCACTCCATGTATTGCACAGGCAGCTGCCAAGCAGTGCATCTGCCAGCTTGGGTACAAAAACAGGCACCTTGTTCCACGTTAATGCTGAGATCTCTCATATAACAAACACACCTGCAGAGGAATTCTCTTCAACCATTCTTCCTGCAATGGTAGGCTTTGTCCTGTGATGACTGCCCTTAGATTAAAAAAGTACAGACAATAAGACTAAAAGAATGTTACGGGTGTTTGCTGGGCTTGTATTGGAGTATTCTTTTAGTTCAATAGCACCTTCACTCACAGTTCTTGGACGTATATGTACAACTTAGCAGAAGCATTATGATGTAATTTAATTCAAGTGTTTCTGTGTCTTAAGCATTTAAATATAATTAAAGTATTTACATGAAATGTTGTGTGATTTTCTTTTTTCCCTACTATTTACATTTTCCAGGGAAAACTGGAGTATACCCTTGGTACCTGTTGGTAACTTTGTACACAGTGAATTCCCCTAATCTTTCGAAGTCTGAAGCAAGCATCAAAAACTTGAAACGACAAGCTCTGCAGAGTTAAAGGTTTAGTATTCCTCTGTGTGGAAACTCAGAGCTGTATGGGAAGGCTTAGCAGAGAAGGCAGGCGCTTCCAGCCTAGCACATCCCAGGCACCCAGAGTGCAGAAGGACAAATTCCAACTTGTCTGTTGGCCATACTTTCCTTAAACCAGCTGAATTCTGAGACAAACTCTGGATTTCTGGGCTTACCTGCAGTTCTGTCCAGGACAGCTTCACCCACATTGGGTGAACATTGTGGGCAGCACCATGGTGATATTTTGTTTCAGAAAATTTGCTTTCTAACTCACCTTTTGGCCCACAAACCCTTAACTTGGGACTGGTTAGGAAAGCTGTCAGATGAACTGGAGAGGCTATACAGAGGAACAGAATTAATTGTACAAAAAGCTGTGGCACATACAGACTTCACTGTGGAGACTTCTAGGTATAGACGTGAAGCAGAATTAGCCTGTATTGTAGTCAAGCCAATTCCAAGGTACTGTAAGATACACAAGAGGCTACAATTAGGTACCAACACCTGTTTTTTTTTTCCTGGCTTGTTACTCCTTGTTTTCACATAGGTCTGCAGGTGCTCCTGAGTGACCAAATTGTGTTTTAGAATGTCCAAAACTCTTTTTTTTTTTTTTTAACTCCAGTAAAGAAAGAGAAAAATGTTTGCCTAGAGAGCCTAGAGATGTGTGTGAGCTCAGGTTGTTGCACATAGAGGAGGCAAAGCCAAAGCCTGAGGTGCTACATTTTATACCTTTATTAAAAACAAACACTGAGGCTAAGTTCAAATTGTCAAAACTGTTTATGCCTACACCAAAATGAGAACCATTTATGAGAATCTTCCAAACTTTGCTAGGAAACTAACCGTGTCATCTCCACTGTTCTGATCCCACTGCAGTGACCTGTTTTTTGACTCAGACCCACTGCCTAAGCTTAGAAACATTTGAAACGCATTTGTTTAGAGGTAGGATTTGGCTACACAGAAAAGGCATGAGGAATAAGAAGTGTTTCTCTCAAATAAGAAAAACTAGCATGAGAGCCAGCCTAGCTCTCTGAAGACAACTGGAATTTTGTCTGCTTTTAATAGACATTGACTTTCATTCTAAGTCTCTGCATAAAAGTGGAAGCTGAAGTTATGGACTGGTGGACTGGGATTTCAACTACATGCAGAGTGGCTCCTAATAGCGTGGAATTCTGGTTGTTCCCAAGCAGTTACATTTTTTACAGAAATCTGTTTTCTGCTGTGGTTTCCCAATAGAATAGTAAGAGGTAGCAAAGACTAGATTTTTTTTTTCCCCCTAAGAGGAGTACTTTGAGTGCATATCCCAGAAGAAATCCATTTGATTTAGGTCAGCAGTGTTACTATTTAACTGAGGCAGTTTCCATCCCTACTACATGTTACCAGCTGAGAAAGGACTCACTAGTGTCATAAGAAAAGCTCAAGACTCTTACAGATGCCATGCCTAATCCATTTAGAAGAAGCTGAAATTCCGGTTTCACATGGTAACAGCTATTACTCTCAGGTAATAGGACTCAATTAAATCTACAGTACAGTCTTGAAGGAAAATGTTAAATTTGCCAATCCAATCACAAATCAGGTATTGAAGTTGGTGAAATATCCTAGTGTGTCACTGGGGTGCCCTTTGAATGCAGACGTGAACTGCAGATGAAATTTTGTGTCTAAAAAAATGATAAAGAGGAAATTTTGCGTCTTGCCCTAACCTGAACTTGGAGGAACACCAGTTGGATCTTCTCATGTAACTATTGATAGTTACAGACTTGAATGCATGGTGTCCCACCTGGATTTATCCAGCATGCCTCATTCTACAGCATAAAGTCAGACCCTGTGATCCAATCCATTAAATCCTTGATTTCTCCGATACGTGGTAGAGGAGGCAAGAAGGGTTACCGTGATGCAGTTTTTCTGCTGAGACCACCAAAGTCCATGTACAAGAAATTACTGGTAGGGCAAACCTGACAACACAGAATTAACATAATCAGAACCCTGGTCACTACTAAATGGCAGACTGGACAAAATGATCTAGAGGAGGAAAAAACAGTTCTTCTATTTTCTTTCTCCAGTCAGTCCTTCCTCTTAATCCTGCAGACGTTTTCTTGTGTTAAATACATGCCTGCTAAGGAAACAGACCTCTGATGAAAGGATAATAAATGAGCTCAATATATACTGACATTTCATGGGTTTCTGCTATGCACTGCCATAAATTTAAAGCCAATTATGTTCTGTTTAAATATTTAACACTGTAAAGCTAGCCAATTTTACATCTTGTCAAAGATAATTGAAATACCCGCTTTGTCCCTTTAATAGGCAGGCAGAGCATCCACCAGATGGAAAATAACCACAGGATTTCACTGTTTGCAAGTGGGTCATGGAAATACCCTCATTCCTCAGAATTCAGGAAGATCAGCTCCGATGCTGAAAGCAGAGTTGACATACGATGTGCTGCTCTCAGTCCCTGTCCCAGAGCGACAGGACACTGCTGTCTCCCCAAACTAAACTGTATCAGCAAGCTTTTGTTTGCATAGCTGCAACACTAGAGGACCCCACAAACGCACATTATGGATGGAAGTATGACAGTGATTTAAGTTGAATCCTGCAGCTCTGAAGGAAGCAACCTGTGGTTGCTTTGGTTCTTTAGAGGCACTCCTTGGAAGTGATGAAATCCAGTGGTTGTGACTAAGCTTGTAAAGATTGTTCACTCGGAGTTGCTATCAAATTCATGGGGAGTGCCAGCAGGCCAAAAGCTAGTTAATGGAAGATGGCCTGAGCTGATAGCGCTAGGATAAAAATTTCAGTGTCAGTCCTCAAGATGCCAGGGTGTGAGCTTTCCTCTAAAGCATCCAAATTACTGACCCCATTATGTAAGCTGGAAATGCCATGAAGGTTTTTTTCTTTCCAATACAGGAAGGGAAGGACTCAAAGTATCTTTCAGATAGAGTCCCTGTGAGCAAATGAGCAAAATTTAACTCTTGGGACCACTCTGTCATCTACCAGAGGTGGTATGACATAAATTCAGAATTTGGCTGTGTAAACAGATTTCCTTTCCCATATCTGTATTACTGAGTCAACACTCTGTCTTTCTATTGAACTATTGCTATCTGTGGCAGCACGAGGCACCCTGTTATTGAAGTATCATTACAAAAGATAATATCCTTACCAAAAAATCTACTACAAACTGTGAAAGGCATCTCCCTGAGAAAGCATTTTTCTTTTTGTCCCTTAAGTCCCTGCTTGGATGGCTGGGGTAAGCCAGCAGACAGCAGGAGAGAAAGATTGGGCAAGATTATCACAAAAGAAGAATTCAAAATATGACAATAAGAATGCTATTTGCTTTCCAGTCCTCTGGCTTCAGCAAGACATGAGCAGGTGGCATACTACTGAGCTGTGGCAGGGATGTTACTCAGAGACTTCCTAAGACCAGTAGTTTTGCTGGGCCTGGAACCGTCTTTTCCAGTGATGCCTAAAGGGAGAGATCATGGGAGACAGAGTTAGAGCTCTGCATCGAGAAGCCTTGCTGCCCAAACGCCCAGTTACAGAGTCAGTGCAAGGTTAAAAGAAGGCATAGGTCCATTCCCAGACACCCGAAGATGTTCACAGCAAGGTTCTTGTACTGGCTGTCAGACTAAAGCCAACATGAACAGCTTCCCCTGACAGCATGCCTCAGAATGGGGCTATTGAGGGCCCAGAAGCTATAGTTTTTGTGAACTTTTCTGGCTTCTGCTAATGCAAACATACAGGGGAAAAGAAGAGCTGGATCCCCAGCTACAAAGGCCATGGGAAAAATATACAGGTAGCTTTCAAGAAGCTCTCCTCTCTTCTCTGCACCATGGCGGGCTTGCAAGTCTGGCACATTTCTCCTTCAGTTCTTGCTGGTTCTTTATTCTCCCCAGACAGGGCTGACAGAAAAGCAAGGAATCAGTCACTGTCTGTTTCAGCAGTCCTCTTAATGTTGCAGACATGAAGTCCAGTGCAGACGCCTTTCCCACTCAGAGCTGTAGAGGATACAACCTGCAGCATGACCAAGCACATGCATCCCCCTATGCCCTCCCACTAGCACAGAATCTCAAAAATCCTCACCTGAAAGGAAAAAGCAAACTAACCAACCCCACAATAATCAAAAGCTCTGGCTGTGCCCATAGCAGAAGATCATTATGTGACTGCAGACTCCTGCTAACAGATCTCAGAGCAGTAGCCTCCTACATGAGTAGCACAAAAGCCATAATATCTAAGTTAAACCCAGACCCATAGAACGGGTTCATCCACAAACTTCCCATCTGAAAGCTGCCACAGCTGCATCTCACTTCCAAACAAGCCACAGGACCTCTAGTTTCCAGAATAATTGGTTTCTCCTTTTCACCCAGCAGTTTCTAAGACAAGCTCACCACCCAGTCTCAAGCACCTGTGTGAGTAACAACGGCTATGAAGTTTTCCAGAGGACTGCCAGGTTTCATACCGTGCTTGCAATCCCTACTGATTTTCAGCTGCTTTTCTCCTTTACAGCAGCACACCAGGTAAAACTGCCCTCTCTGTCCTGGCACTGCCTGGTGCAGGAGCAGGGCGGTTGATGCCACGCTATCGTGTGCCTCACAGCTGTCTCCCGCCGGCCGCAGCATCCGCTGCTCCCGTCACGTCTGGCTCTGCCTCATTGCGACACGAGGGAAACATTCCTCATGTCACCGCCCCGGGTCCCACTCTGAGCGAAAGGAAGAAGAAAGTGCCCACGTGGGCTGTGGTTTGGGCGACGCTCGTGAGCACTGCCGGAGGCAGCGGGGGGCTGGAGGTGAGCTCGTCACTCGCGGGCCTGCGGCTCTGCTGAGCTAAACGCGCAGCGTGGTGGCAGGAAGTGATACGGGAGCAGGGGCCCGAGAGGAAACTGAATCGAGCAGCTGAGGTTAACTGCTCCGGCGTTTTATCATGTGGCATTTCCAGGGACTTTCTAAGAACCCGAGGTTGGGTTCGGCTGCCCGGTGTCAGTTAGGTCGCTTCGCACAGCACGCTCCGCAGCGCTAACGGCAGCGGGACGAGGGAGCAGCTGTGCTGACCACACGGCAAAACAAGGCAACATCTGCCTCTCCGGGGCTGCTGGCCCCCTTCCACCTCCCGCTCAAGGGAATCTTTGTAATGAATTGCTTCCTACAACGCTCACTGAAGGTCGGGCTCGACTGCACACGAGTTTGGCTGGCATCTACCTCAGGAACAGCCCCACGTGGCACAGAACTTGCACTTTCCTGCATCTGCAGTGCGACCGGAGCTGTGGGTGGTGCATCTGCATGCTCTCGTGAGTGATAACTGCTATTTGTTATCTCATCTCACAGAAGCTTAGATAGCTTTGCAGCCCTATATAGAAACCTGCCAGTGTCGTCATTCACTGCTAGGGCGCGAGCCACTAACAAGGAGCGCTGCTGTTGGGTGCAACCAGGGAGGAGGAGAGGACAACGCTATCACGGAGGCAGGCTGGAATCAGCACTAGCATATCCCAAATGTTAGGGGCTCTTCACAGTTTTAAGTAAGACCTACATGCAGAATGTGAATATACACTATCGTAACACAGCCAGGCAGTTTCACTCATACTGTGTGAGTTTCACTCAGACTGTAACAGCAACTATCACCTCCGATAAAAGACATCTTATAAAGGTAAATATACAGACTCTTCTCCCACCCCTCTTTTCTGCCTCTGCTTCTACTCGAGTAGCCACCACCAAATTAGATGGAAGCAATGTGCTACTCCTCCTTGTGTTTCTGGAAGCCTTCCAAACACTCCTCTATTTGTAGGGTTTACCAGGAAGATTGCAGCCAGTGCTACAGCCTTGGGGGTACATGCATGGTTTGCTAGGAGCATGGTTCCACAGTTTAGCCCAGTGTAATTACAATTATCTAATTTCAAACCTTGTGTGGCAGGCGCTGAGTTCAAATTCAAGTCACTGCTTCCCTGAGGACTTCCTTCCTCAGACGTTCCTTCTCGGATCGCTAGCTGGGGCTATGAAGAGAAACACCAGAAACAAACAAAATCCCCCACATGGAATCAGTATCAGGAGACAAAATTGCAAATGCACAAAGTTGATTAAAAGCTTTTGGCTTGGCATCTATGTTATTTACATAAGACCATGAAGTGCTGAAACTATGCTGACTTGCCACCACTTCTTGTGTCCAACTGCATTCAAGAGCATGTGCCAGCGCACGTTGTGCCTATGTGTATTCACAGGAGTCTCTGAATGGCTGTCAGAGTACAAAATTGGCCCCCACATTTTCAGTCTTTTATGAGACACGAGCCCCACACCTTGAAAAACCTCCTCATTATGCAACTACAGAGATTTTTTTCATCCTTGAGCACACCATTTCCTGAAAAGCAAAACATTTTGTCCACTGAAAATTCAAATCCCAGGATCTGCTCCGTTTCTTCTGTTTCGTCTTTGCCCCCCAGAAACTCTTCAGATGTTAAATAAATTTTGAACTGAAGCATCACAATGCTTCATTAACCGAAGTGAGGATGAAATATTTTGAATCACTAAAACAAAAAAAGTCAGTGTGCAAGAAGTTTTAGCTTCGGTAAACTGGCAGTAACAAAGCAGAAAGATTTTTCTTACAAATTGCTACATATCTCTTTTGTTTATAACAAGAAACACCTAAGTTACAGCTCTGGCACACAACTTAATTAATTTAACCACAAACCCTCTATCCTATCCCTAGAATGGCAGCTACTGCAATCTGTAACGGCAGAGAATGGCCGGAAGAGTCTTTCCTGACCTCATTTGTACCCTGTCAGAGATGACAGATAGCTGTAAATGATTTCTAGAATGCTATAGATGTTTACAGGCTGGACAAATCCCTGAGCACGCTGATCTAATTAGACCTGCTTTGAGCAGTGGTTTGCACTAAAGGACCTCTGGTGGTCCCTTCCAACCTGAATTACTCTGTGGTTCTAAAAATGGAAAGAAGCATAGGCACACACAGAACCAAAGAATCCTGGACACCTGACACGACTATTTGTATATCCTGAGAACCATCAGGATGCTCCAATCTGTTGGCTTGCTTCTGTGCATCAAAAGGTCTCAAGGAAGAATAAACTGCCGACTGAACTTATAAGGAAATGTTTCACTTAGGCTATTATTATTGAAAAATAAGAATTTCCATGGGAAAAAAAAAAAAAAAAAAAAAAAAACGGATCTTCTTTCAACAAAAGAAGGTAAGCTTGGTGAGGAAACCTACTCCAGCTAGCTTTATTTCAGGTATTAGCTTCTGACAACACACACACGGGTCTTTGGGTCCCTGAAAGATGCAGGCCAGCATGTGCATCACGCTGCCTGGCTGCTTCTGCTGCCTCCTCCACTGTAAACCCTACAATAACAGTGCTTCGCAGCCAAGGCTTCCCTACCACGGTTCAGACTGCATCACGGTAACAGCAGAAGCTGTGACTGAATTTATTCCTCCCCCAGAACTTCTTTGCCTGCTTTCCCTTACCAGGCTGACAGCTGAAAGGCACTGAGCACTCCTGAAGGTTAAACTTGCCTGTTTCAGATTGTACGAGGAATGCATAAATCAATACCAGAAACTCCATGAGAGTTGGAGTCCTTTGGCCTCTGCATTTGTATTCACCCACTGGAGTTCACAGCTACACATACAGGACACATCAGGTTGTACCTTTGTCCAAGACAAGGTGATAGCTGTAGGCTCCACCAGTTTAAGAAATAATTTATTTAAATTACTCTATCTTGCATCCCCTTGGAAATTCAGAGCCCTGTGTATTCACATGCCTTCTCCTGGTGACCAGGCACTTTCCACCAAGGCTCAATTCTGTATCACCTGAGGTCTTCCTCCTCTCTGAATTTCTGCCTCCCCTCAAGCACCTGACCAGGTCAAACCATACCTGCAGATGAATATCCCTCATACTAGTCTCAAAGTCAGCAATATCCAGACTGTTTCCAAGCTACTTACCAAACCCTGACTTCCACTGGTCCCCAGGGACAACTACCACCAGTCTTTGTCTGCTAGCCTGCATGCAACCACCTGGATGCCAGTCCCTGCCCTTGCTTTTACATGGTGAGTATGCTGCCTGAAGTTGCTCTGCTCTCTTCAGTCCCGCTTCTGAGATTCAGTTCTGCAGAGGGTTTGCAAGTTTCCCTCCATTTCCATCCAAGAAACGTTTGTCTGTCAAGGTCATTATCATGTCAGAAAAGTCTTTTCATCTCTCTCACATGCTCGTACTCCCTCCCTAGTGAAGATTTCCTTCCAAGCCTCCTCTGTAGCCCTCACAGACTGCACTATCCCTCTGTTTCTGCTGATCCAGCTCTTTCCATCCCAAGTGTTCCTGCAGCACTGTAGCTGTATGGCAAACCTTTGTATTCCTGCAGCAAGTGCACAGTTTAGGATTGGTCTAGAATTCTTTGTGTCAACAAATACACACTAAATAACAGTTTGTGTTTTGTCTGTTTTGTGTTTTTGTTTGTTAGTTTGTTTTGATTGTTTGCTTGTTTTTAATCACCCCTAATGATATATAACATGCCATTAATTACTTGCAGGAGTGAATATCCTTATTGATTTAAAACTTTTTCCTTTTCTTTCAAGTCTGAAATATTCTATCTTCATCTTCTAACTACCGATTCTTACTAATCCTTTGTTTGCTGCATATAAGAGCCTCCTGCTGGCAGGATTCAAAGTTTTGTCATTCATCAATTTTTTATTTATTTATTTATTTTTGGCTAAACTCTAAGTTTCTTCTTTTGAGGCAAACTGACATGCTAAGCAATCACTCCAGTTCGTCGGGATTCTTGGGAAGACAACCTCTCTGCTTGAGAATGGATGGGAACTCTGGTCTGACCTCCCAGCCTGGGAAGGACTGTAGAAGACTAATATGTCTTAAATTAAGTATAGCAGCTCTCCTGGGCTCCCAGGATGTTTCAAGAACTGAATCTTGGGAATGAGGTACTGGGAGGGCAGTCAGAGCTTCCCTAATGTGTTGAATTCGTGAGCCAGCTAGGCTGAATGTCATTGCCAACAGAGAGCCTGAGAACAAATGCAAGAGAAGCCTCCCTTCCAGCCTGGGCTCTGTGGATGGAGAATAAGAAAAGGACTGAACGCTGTACTCACCCACTTGCGGGGCCTCCCTCTTGGCCTTTTTCCAGCAGGAGGTTCTACCTATATTGAAAGCAATACAAAAAAAGTATTTTCAGTTCTCCTATCTGCTGCGCACTGTGACTAAATACACTGAACCTGCCCAAAGTGACCTCTGCATAAAGGTTTTGTGAGCCAAACAGCAGAAGGTGACTAAAGCTGGGGATGGAAGACAGTTGAGGAGGAAACACCTGCCAGACTGTGCTGGTTGTGATTATGTTGCAATGGCAAAGGAGAAACTCCAGAAGGAAGCTGCTGAACAGGCAACGACAGCACAGGAAGGCCAGAAAGTGAATTAGGACTAAGACCATGATAACTGTGACAACTAAACAACAGTGGCAACTAAAACTGAACTGAATGAGGGGCAAATTTCATTGCCTATCCTTAATCTAAGAGAGCCCTCCCTGCTTGTCCCTCTAGTAATGCTTGTAGAGGGGACAGCCAGCTTCTCTCTTCCCCCTCATAAAAGCATATAAGCCATTTACTCTCACCATTTGTCCAATTACAGTGCTCGCTTTCTTGCTTCCTTTTGGCCTTCCTCGTGGTTTCTTCACCAGCAATTGTCCCCCAGCTTCCTCCTGAAAAAGAGAAAATTTAGCAGGATGATCCCTAGAATAACTTACTAGGTTGTCTCTACTTTTCCAGATGCTGAAACAAACTAGAAGATAGGCAGCACTACCATAGCATGCCTTCCCTTCCCTTGCTCTTTACTGCCTGCTAGTATCACAGCACCCTCAGGCAGACTCTTTGGATGATGCACACTTACCCGTGGCTGCTTCTTTGGTCTTCCTCTCTTTCTCTTCAGGCCCTCAGTCAGTGGAGACGAACTAGGGTTCACTGGCCTCTCGTTGCTCATGTTGGTTCTTCCCAGTTTCCAGATGATAATTCAACGCTTTATTTTCCCATGGGATGGAAAAGAAAATTTGTCTCCTCTTTCTTTCCCAATCTTGTTACAGATTCTCTTCCACCTGCAAGTCTAGAATGATGAGAAAGAATCAGGTGTGACAGCTTGCTATTATTTTTATCATCTGGGAGAGCCTGGAACCCAGCAGACATCCAGAAGCATAATTATGTTTTATAAACCTTAATGGACCATTCTTTTTCACAGCCCATTCCTCAGCTTTCTGAGGTTCTTAGCTGAAGGAGCTGATTGCTCCAGGTGCATAAGCATGTTGATAACTGCATCCGCCTTTCTCTCGTTAGCCAGCTTTATCCAAGCTGACAAGATGATGTCTTCAGCTCCCTGAACTCCCCTCTTTAGAAGCTTCCCTTGTCTGAGGAGGAAGGAGGTGGGAGACAAAATGGTGGTAGTGAGTTATAAGCACCACAGACAAGGGTAAAGCTTCAGTTAGAGCTCCTGTATTATCAGATACCAAAGCTAATCCTGAGAGCCAAATCCACAGCAAAGAGAGCCCTATACCAGAATACCTGAGAGTATGTATAGATGAACTCGGCCCTAGAGCTGTCCCTCTAGAGTTTGTTCCCCATCACCAATTGAACAGGCACCGTCTGGACCACAGGAGTGGTGGCCTGACCGTATTTCAGCACACAGCCCCTGGTCCTGCACAAGACTCTCTATTTCCTATAGGGTGGAAGAAGTCACCCAGACATGGATTTTGCTTGGTCCTGAGCACTGGTTTGTCTAACACAAGTTCCATGTGAGCAGGATCACCAGTCCCCATGCCCTATTTAGTGCCTGCTGTGGTTGGAACAAGCCCTGATCTGACTTGTTTGCTCTAAGAAATAACCAAGATCATGAGCTGTTGAGGGTACATAGGAAACCAATGGCTTTCCTTGCTTCTGCTTGAGGTTGCAAGTTCCTCTGGTGTTGCTGCCAGAGAAGGTGGCAGTCTGACTGTAAGGCTTTACAGCTTCACATCCCAGAACAGGAACAGGAGGGAAGAGATCTTTACAGGATGTGGAGTCATTTGTCTTCCTTGCATTTGAAGTAAACCCCAGCCAGTGGTTTGTGTACAGCTCCCATTTTGCTGATCTGCTTGGAAAATGCATGTACAACCTCCACCAGACCTTGGGCTTCCCTTCCTTCTTGCACAGAAGGAGGGAGGGCTCAAGAAGGTGTGAGGCACTGAAGGAACTGAGCCTGGCTAGACAGGGCTTAGCAGTGCTGGCTGAATCCTCTTTTGTCTGTAATTCTTACCACAAAACAAATATCTGAGAACAGTGTGGTTGGGAAAGCAACATCATTGCCTGCTTAGGAAAGCAGGGATATAAACATGAACAATGCATTTCTACCTTCTGTGTGAAGCACGTGTCGACTCCTATCATCTAGAGGTTGCAAGTCTAATCTGACTTGCCTGTAGAAGCTCTTCTACTCCCACCTGAGAACCACTTTTGCAGCTGTTTCTTCCACCTGGTTCATTTCTCCTTCGTCACTTTAACATCCATAAATAGCTTGGTAATGCTGCATAGGGCTTTGTCCCATTGGCCTTGAGTGCTGCTGGGTGCCCAAGTCCCTCCAGCAGGCTCCACCTGAGGCGGTAAGGGCAGCAAGGTAAGTATGGGCACAGCAACCCCATGTAGAAGAGTGGCTATTTCCAAATTTTGGTGGAGGGCAGGAGCTGCCTTCAGTTCCAGTTCACACACAAGCTAGTGAACCCCTGGAAGTCCTTTTGGGTATGCTGCTGGGACCCAGCTTGTAGATGCTGCTGCACTCAGCTTTTCTATCAAAACCTCTGATCAGAGGGTGATGGAAAGACTGTAGCTCAGTTCTGAGTTCAGGCTGCATCTGGAGGGTAGACAGTTAGGAAAAAAACACTTCTTTGTACTTGCAAGCCATGCACAGTTGCCATCAAGTCTCTCAGACGAACATGAAACACTTCTGCAGTCTCTTTCAGAGAGGAGCTGTGCTTTTAGAAACCGCTACTGGAGCTTTGTAGTTTGATCAGATGTTCATGTTACAAAGGTACAACAAACATTCTGCCCCCTGGTCCTACTGTTTTCTGCTTTGCCAGCTTGTGCCAGTCACACCTAGGCCTCAAATGGCCTCGTGCTGGTGCTGGCACCTGGGAGGGGGTTGCAGTGGTACAGGGACCCCAGACTGCCCAAGGAGCTGAGGACCCTCAGCACCTCCTCCCAAGGGCAGCTCAGAGGTGGCCCTGGCTGAGGTAGAGCCCAGGGTGCTGTGTGGGTGGTTTGATGCCTCCTGAGCCCGTCTTCCCCTGCTGTCTGCAGAAAGGGAGCAGACATTGCCATAAGAACAGACAAGCATGGAAGTGCCGTCCTCGTCAGTACTCTGGGAGGGGATTAGGCTGCTCTGACACGGCTTCTACCTCTGGATCACAGTCGTTTGAAAGCAGGCTCAGTGCCTCTTTGAATTCAGGTTGTAATGCTAGCGCATGGAAAAGTTACGCAGGAAACAAACACATCCTTGGGAAATATCAGATGTGCATTTTGGCCCCCATTTATCCAGGTATTGCCAAAGCACGAGGGGCAGGATGAATGATGGGGTATGGCAGGTATCGTCAAAGATAACACACGGAGTTGCATCTGGATGATCTAACGGCACTGTGCTGATAGGGCATTTAAGTGTTTTGGTTATTTATTTTTCTGTACTGTCTGCTTGGTCGCTTCACACTGCAGAATCTGGAAACATCACTGGCAGAGGCAGCAAGAAACCTTCCAGCCTTTGTGCTATGTTTTAACAAAACATATGCGGTCATGACAGACACCAAAGCCATCGCTCTTAGTGACACAGCCTCTCTCAAGAGTTTGCTCTAACCGAAACCTGCATTAAATCAAAGTTTTACATGACAATAATCAAGTGGGAGCAACCACTGTGTACAGAATTATTTGTTCCCCAGGTGCAAAGAAAGTCAGTTCTTGCATGATGATCATTTTCTAAACCATGCTAGACTGATGAACTCTGCAATGCCTTTCCTATACCTGGCAAGCCTTCCACAGACTGGACACAAACATATAGAGGCTGCTGGGAAATATCAGTGTCTTTGCATAGGTCTCCCTTCTGTCACCCACCAGGTACACACTTCTTGGAGCCTGGTGCAGAAGGAGAAAAAGGCAAGCAAAATGATCCTAGTATCAGTCCTTTTAGCTTTTGTATGCTTTACGTGACTCAGTGTAGAGGAACGTACAAAGGAAAAGCACACACTGCGGTTCTACTTCAAACTTTTCAATGATAACTTTACACATATATATAGATAGATAGATAGATGTGTAAACAAATCAATATTGACTCCCATTGACCAAAAACCAAGCATGTTTCTAGGGTCACTGTGCTCACTACTAGAGTGCAGCCAGCAAGGCTGAAATCCATCCTATACACCATCCATGAGGGATGATGTATAAATAAAAAAAAATCTAAAAAGCCATCCAAATGTCTGTGTGCCTTAGGTTTCCTTCATGTCAGCTGTGTATGCAGCTTTGAAAATGATGCAGATATGCGGAAACATGATGTTGGCAGTATTCAGACCCATAAGCTGTGGAGCCCTCTCCTGAAACGAAGCACCTCATGGCCCAGAAGCATTCCCCGGCACCTGGCAGAGGACCAGGGATACTGATTGCCTAATGCTTTGCACCCAACTTATGTGCTAAGTTGTAGGAATCCAGTTTTTCTACCATACCCACTCAGGAGAGAAAAACTCCTCCTGATGGCAATGCAGTTGTAGACTAACAGAGTACTGAGTAATGTTCCTGAGGGTCTTCTCCCTTTTTACAGACTACCGAGGGAGCTGGCCTGCTGACTTCGACAGGAAAATTAAATGGCAGATCCCCTTCCCCTTGATTCCTTGGGGATGATAAACTGTTGGCTATGTCCTTGGGAGAAATGCCATATGACACGGGGATGCTTGGGGGTTTTAGTGCGATGCCTCAAGCTGTGTGCATGATTCACAGCAAATGCTGCCAGCGAATGAGCGTCTAGCTGCAGTGCCCACATACAAAATACAAAGCTTAAAGCCTTTTTCAAAGCATAATGAGAGTGTGATTATGAGACCCTTCATTGTAGACTTAACACTGCTGCTGTCTCTAAAATAATAGGAAAAACCATCCACAAAGCACGGCTCCCACTTAGTGGCACAGCGCTATTGTTCTGCTGTCACATGTGACAAAGCGAAGGCAGTGTTACTTCACTGACAGCAGCGTGGCCACTCTTTGGTCCCTCTGGTGCAGGAGGGAGGGAAGAATTTGGCCTGAGCCCCGCATCAAGCAGAGGAGGATAACAGACTGTTAGCAAAGACATCTAAAGAAGGGGACTAAGAAGGCAGGGCGGAGAGAAACCTTTCATTCCAATAACCGTAGCAGTAACGATCTGTGCTCGCATTATGAGAAATTACTTTCACCTTCCGAGAAATCAAATGCTCACGTCTTTTCAGATCTCACAGCAGATCAAGAAATACCACAGCTTGTCATGTTTCTCCATGGACTTTTCTACCAGGCAGGCAGGACAGCCAAGTGCTGCAGCATCTCCCTGGGGAAAGGGCAGTGGCAATAACGCGCTGGCAAGCAAGTCTTATCTGGCAGATTTTTCTGTGGAAATGAGGAACTTCTGGGCTACTAAATCAAGCTTGTGGCAACAGCAGGTAACTGTCATAGTTGCATAAATCACATCTAAAACACAAATAACCTCTGTAGGTTATTTCCCTAACTGTTTTGGGTGGCTGGTCTAAGCCTTCTTTGGTCTTATGCTTTAAAGCCCCCTATTTTCCATTTTAATGGCCAATTTGTGTCATTTATTCTTGCATCAACAGTCCTTCAGCAGCAGCATTTCTCTCTCCTCCATTTTTAAGCCCACTCAACCAGATGTATTTTCACAGATGAACCAGATCTCCTCCATCTTGAGAGGCTGAACAAGTAAAATCTTCCAGTTTCTCTGCATGTGATTGTTTCTCCTGATAATTTTGGTTGTCATTTTCATCTTTTCCAACCTGAGCTCACCACTTCTGAATATGAAAAGATTCTTACTCAAAAACATTTCCACTGAGGACAGCCTGACTAACTTAACCACTCACCTATCTGAGAAGCATGGGCAGGACAGTTCAGTGGAAGGGAAAAAAAAAATCAGCTCCTGTGTAATGTTATTAGCATGAATTTCCAGACTGATTTGACCAGCAAGCCATTCCACCACCTCCTCCAGCATATCTTGACTGCTAAAATATCCAAGACAGAAAGTATTTAAGCTTACAGAGCACAACAAATACAGGAACCATACAGACTTCCATGCTTCACATCAGTGCTAGAGACCAGCTCAAGGCATGAACGGGAACTTCTGTATTTCTGTCTAGTTACATTTCCGACTTCATTACAGATTTCTCTTTGCAGCCCTAATGAAAGTGCCTTCATGTGTTTCAGTTCCGCACCCACAAAATGGTGCGTGGTTCCCTGCCTGCTAGATATGCTGGCAATGAGGATGAAGGGAAAAACCTGAGTAATGCAGGAAGAGGCCGCCCGGTGCCTGTTCTTCTGGGACAGCCAGCAAGCAGGGCAGGTGCTTCCAGCTGGAATAAGAGCTTATGGGCTTAAGACCTATGTACTATGAGGCAATATCAGAAGCTTTTTTTCATATTAGAGGCACACATAGCCACATGAGAAGAGGGTTGTTGATAACCGAGTTTCAGGCAATGATGCAGACATGAACAGTCTCTGTTCCCCATTCCTCAGATCCGAAGTATCCATCCTCAGCACAGTGTCAGCACACTGCAAGAAAGTATTCATAAAGAACCTGTGCTTGCTGCAGTGCCTGCCTTCTGTGTCCAGATACTTGAGCCAGATACTACCCTGAGAGGCACCTTGACTGCCCTAATCCATACCACAACAAATCACAGAAATACCACCAAGCTCTGTCGTAGCTAGCCTAAAAAAAAATCCCATTCCTTCCTCTGAAAAGTGGGGCCTGTGGAGTGAGTCAGGCCACATGTGACACCCTAGCTGCACTGTGGGCCTGTCCGCTCGGTAAGTGCTGGTCCTGCCTCTGATCCTGAGCGAGTCTTCCCGTACTTCCAGCGTGATTCCATAATCTTACAGACAGAAAATGTGAAGTATTAGCGCTTGCCCTCAGCCTGAGGTGGAAGGACTGAGGACCTTCCCATTTGCAGAACAACACCAAGAACCTCCAGCAGGAGGGAGCAGGGCACGGCACTATCGACTCGCTGATGTGCCGTTCAGGAGCACAAGGGAGAGGCTGTCACAACTGCAGAAATACAGCCCAGGATTAGCCACATCCTGCTGAGCACCAAAACAGACCTCCACCCTCTTTCCCCAGGAAACTGAAAGCTCGTGGGACTGATCTGCCCCCAAGATGCAGTTCCCTGCCCTGGGACCCTGGCACAGAGCAGCACCTGAGCATGAGCTGGGGCTCTGCAGAGGTGCTGCACGCTGCTCTCACCCGGTCCCAAAGCAGGCAGGTAGGGGATACAGGACCCAGCTTGCTGTCTCCATCGAAGGAAACGTACCAAAATCAAGACCTCAAGTCTTGAGGCCAAGCCTAAAGCCTTAAATGCACCTCCAGCACTTCTCCCAAAGCTATCAAGCTACAGTAACACTTAATGCCTCCGTGCTGATTGTAGATCCCCTAACACTACACACGAGGAACACGTAAAGATGCTGCCTTAGAGAATTTGTCCAAAGCCCCAAATGTTCACTAAAGCATTCTCCTGTCTCTTAAAGTTTCTGTCCAGACCCTAGCACCAAATAATAATAACAATAAAAATAAAAAAAGCTCCCAAGACATGCAGGGTCAAAACAGTGGAGAAAAACAGCAGTGTTTACAGGGAAGTAGGAAGGTAAGGAGAAAAGCATGGTTCCTGAAATAAAAATCAAATCACAGTCATGTCTTATTTGAGATAGCATCAAGCCTCACTACTCTGCAGAATTACTATCATGTTCAGTTTGGCTACTGACAGCCAAGAAACACTGTCCACATGCACAAAACCAGGAAATAGCCCTCTGCGTTTCCTGGCAAGGAGAGGCGTTTCGGCAACCCAAAACAGGGATACACGAGGCAAGCAAGTGTCGTGCCTTAACCTACTTTCAAACAAGGTCTCAATTAGCAAGATTATTAATCCCCGTGGCTGAACAAACCCCAGTGTCTTGCAGAGGAGCTCTGCATACACGTTTGAAACACAGTCTTGCTGATGCGGTAGGAAAGGAACGCGATTACCTGGTGAGAAGTTGGGCAGCACCACTTGACCCGGCCCCAGCAGACCTAGCAATGAAGACAGGAGAGCAAGACAGAGGTATCCAGCAGTGACACCCCTTCTGCACGGGAGAGAAGCAGCTAACCGAAGCCTCTGCACACATTCATTTCAGGAGCCGTACACCGAGCCGAACGCTATTTATTGCGCTCCCAGTTAGTGATATGGAAAGCAGCGTGAGCACTGCCAGCGCTCTCCTTCTGATGGCAGTCCTGAGCACTGACAGCAAGTGAAACCCAGCGCACTTCAGCCTGCCTGGAATCTCACACTGAACTGGCAAGAACAACAAAAAAAAAAGTCCCAAACCAGAACACTTACAACAGGCAGGCTGTACCACTGCCCTGCTTACTAAAAATAAAACCGGTTTCCGAATGATCTGAATAAAGGGGACAGATCAGTTCACAGCTTTCCCTATTTACAGAGGCTATCAAGAATCATGCTTGGCTCTGTTTTGTGAAAACAATTGCACGAACAAAACCCACAGAAACAGGTACCCTCAGGAAGGGTTGTGATGACAAAGTGGTTATTAATGTGAGTGCAAAGTATGCTTGGGGCATTTACTATAAGCCACAAATAAAAATGGAAGCTGACTTCAGCTGAGATTAAGCACATTTAGAAAGGAGATGCTGCATGGCTCTGAGTTCGGTATTCTATACTAATTACATGAACAACCATTAGAGCTGGCAAAAGTCCCCAAAACTATTTAGCAGAGGAGAACACAGACTTTTCATATGACTGACTCAATGTCTTTCAGATGCACATATGGGGGTTTTCAGCATATTGCTATTAGCAAAAACAAAGAATTAAAATATCTCAGTCTCTACCTGTATAAAACCCATTAGAGCATCTTAGAGACAAAAGTCTGAGATTCTTTGTGTCAAAGAGTAAATTGCTTATACTGATACACTGACAGTAAAATTAAATAAACTGAAGGGGTTTTTTGTTTGTTTGTTTGTGTTTTTTTTGTTTTTTTTCTTCTTCTCAGAGCCACCCATATATTAAAAAAAAGTAAAAAATAAAATGACTTGAGTTCCTAAGTAACTTCTGAAAACATAAGGCACCTATATCACTTAACTGTAGTCTGGAAAATACCAGTCTCAACCTTACGGACATGGGAATGCTCATGTCCTGGTTAACAACAGACACAGAGGCCATAGAAATGTGTCCAGTTCTTGGGGCTGTCCCATGCTTCCTACGTGACCTCAGCAAAGTCACCTTCTTTTTGCACTCAATTTTCCACGCAAAGCAGGGATAACACACAAAACAGGTAGCATTTTGCTTAATTAGACAACATTTTGGGGGGGAAGAGATACAGTTACACAGGTCTTAGGAAAAGTAGCTCAAGACTTCAGTCATAGCTCCTAGCCACTCATAAAACCAAGTCAACACAGATGTTAAGAAAAGCCTTTGACCACCCCCTTACAACAATGTTAAATCCAAAAATCAAACGAGTATACATATTCATGTACCTGAAAATTATTATTTATTTTATACGCTTAAATCTACCCAGAATCTTACTGCATACACACTACTGTATTGTTATTGAAACATACATTTTATTTTTAAATTTTAATATTATTTATTTAATATATATATCACTAGAGACAAAGTTGAATGCCTACTGCATGAACGTACTGCAACCACAAGGACTATGACAGAACCTGAATTGTTATCCATTGTATGAAATGAAAAAATCTTTATGTGGCAAGGAAATACAGAACTTGATCCTACAGCACTAAACCAGAGACAGTTGACCATCCACTTTTAACAGTGCTAAGGAATGTTATTAATATTGTAGCGATTAAATTTCTAGTTAGAAAGTGTCAGAGGACTAAATTGGCACATGCAGTTCTACTTCGTCCTTATTGAGCATATATTGGATGATAGCATCTTTAATTTCATATCCACACTTCATAATTTCATTAGCACTTAAGGCCAAGAGAAACAATTAGATCATTCTGTATATAAATGACTGTCATTTCATCATTACCTTGGCCTGAGTCCAAAACTTTTGTATTTGACTGAAGCATCTCTCCCAGAAAATTATGTCTTCTTGATTTAAAGACAGCATGGGATGGAGAATGTGCCACTACTCTTGGACATGTGTTCCAGTGGTTAATCCCCTTTAAAAAGGATGCCTAATTTACAATTCGATTCCTGTGCTTTCAGATTGCAGGTGCTGGTTCTTATCATACTTTTCTCAGATAAGCACCCAGCCTACCTATTCCCTACCTCCCCTACTCAGCGATACTCCTACACTGTTATCAAGTCCACTCACTATTCTTCCTCCCCCCCAAAAAATTAAATTGAGTGAGCTTCTCAAGTGTCACGTTGTAAAGCTTTCTTTCTCTCTCTCTCTTTTTTCTTTTTTTTTTTTTTCCCCTAAAATCATTTTTGTGTCCCTTACCTCAACTTCGAATATTAATACCTTTTGAGAAGGAGGACACCAAAGCAGAACGCCCTCCTTTGGTAGCTGTCTTGACCCCCATTAAACCAGAGGTAAAATTAATTCCCCTTTACCACTTTTGTGGTTTAACAGCCAACGATCATACAAGCCCTTTTAGCAACATAAAGCATGATTTTTTTCTGCAGCATTCCCACCCACTTCACAGGCTGTCCCTTCCACCCAGTTAACGTTGCTGTTTCTTTCTACCCTTGTTGGCCACTTCTTTATTACACTGTGCAACCCTTTTTCAGAAGGCAGAATTATCTGTTTTGACCTGGACTTTTTAGTGGCAATCCTTATCCCACCATTTAACGGCTTTACAAGCAATTAACTGCAGTGTTCACCACTGCCATATGATATGATAGTAGTCATATATTTTAGGGGCAGGGGAATTAAGATCAGTATTTTAGATATCAGTAGCTAAGTAAGAAGTTGCCAGCAAAACAGTTTTACCACGTGCTGATTCCATCCAGCTAGGTATGTGAGGATCCCATAAAAGCTTCCCCTGGGCAGACTGGCAGATCAGGTCCCCGTTCCCTCTACCCCTGCATTCAGATCCCAGGGTATCTTCCCCTGGGCAGCCTCAGTGCCAGGAGGTAAGCTTTGAAACACAAAACTGGCACTCCCTATTTTCAGCGTGCATCAAACAAGCAGAGAGCTGAAACAGAGACCTGGATCCTGGTCGCCAGACGCAGCACAGAACTGCGGGGACATTGCCCACCCTGCTTCACCTGGAACTCCTTGTAGGAGCTGCTAGAGAGTGGTGCAGCTTCTGGCCAAGGGCTGAGGCATGGTCACAACAGCACCTTCTGAGGAAATTTCTCTTGTGGAGGCCCCATGAAGGAGGAACAAACGTGAGGTGAACCAATCAGCAGAAAAACAGCAGCTGCCAAATCTAGAGGACAAGAATCCTTCAAATTCCCTCTCCGTAGAGGTAAAATGAAACAAAACAAAATTAGCAAGGTTTCTACTCTTGAGTGACTTGCTGAGATATGCACGTCCTGAGATGGATTTGTGCATTTGCAGTGACACTTGCCCTACACGAGGGCTAGCTTGTGTCTGTGAGATAGCCCCCAGTTTCCTCTAGGAACCATCCAGATTTCACCACAATGCAGTGCAAGTCTCTGCCTGCCTTCCTATTCCTTATCTTCACTCTTCCAGAAACCAGGCTGGTCACCATGGTATAGCACGATATACAGAGACTAACGCCAGCTGTAGATTCATTTGTGTATAATCCTTTTCTGTTAGACAGGTGTATATAAAGAGTTTCATTCACTGCTATCCTGATCTTGTCAGAACCTCTCATGTGCACAAACCTGTATCTTATAAACATAATGAAAACTAGTTTCATAGTAATTGTTCTATATATGCTTATTATTCAGGTTGTATTAATGAATATTTTAAATGGAGATTAGGCTGAGCTGTGATTTTCACAAGATAATAAATAGATTTGCTATGCCCTATTTTATCATTGTAATGGAAGTGTGCCTCATAATGCTATATTTCATAATTCTTTTATATTATGTTCAACAGCAATTCCAACTCTCTGGATGATGCAGGGTTGCAAAATCTGACTTTGAGAAAATTGTGGACTTGCTGGAAAGCCTCCAAAAACCAGAGGCCTAGAAATGAGAGGTGAGAATGAGAAGTGAAGAGAGAGCAGCTCTGCCGCAGGCAAGGAAGGTACAGGTGGAATTAGAAAGAGCTCCCACCTTGCTCTGTACAGCCACGTGGAGACATTGTGAAGGATGGCCTGGAGATGGCCTCAAAGGTCCTCTGTAAATATCAACCTTCTACCAGTAGATCGCAGAATCATAGAATAGCTGAGTATGAATGAAGACCGGACCACAGTGAGAAAGTAAAGGCTCTATAATTCTAATTTTTGACCAAAGGGAACCAAGAGCATCACCAGAGGGCTCCACAGCAACTGTCTGTATCAGAGGACCACCCCCTGGCTAAGAGGTAGAGTAGAGAGGCTATGTCTGAGGAGCAGACTGGCAGGCATAGCTGTGTCCCAAATACTGGGGGGCAGGTGTACATATGGAGGGAGATGCATGTTTGTGTGGGAGACAGCTCAGGCCCAAAATTATCCCCTTGGTGCCCATCCCAAGGAGCAACAGAGAATGTTTGAAAGGAACGAGGAAAGTATCTTCATGAATAGATACCTATGGCTACCCAAAGGTGCTTTAATGGCAGTGGAATTTTACTAGTTTTCCAGTTTAAAGGGTTGGATTCCTCTGAGAGAGATGGGATGTAATTTGGACAAATCCATCTGCTCCATGACTGAATAAGGGCCAGCCAGAAGATTGCAGCATTCATCTCAGGAGGACTCCCAGAGTGATTGTGTCCTTCTGCCAAGGTTTCCGTGGAAAATTATCAGAAAGTTCTCTTGCATGTCCCAGCAAGAGAAGCAGATGTGTGTCCCAGACTACGTCAAGCACATTCACACCAAAGGAGGACAGCAGTGTGCACCACGCTCCCTTCCCTGATTTTGCAGTGTGTATCCTGTGTGCTGCTCCAAGACACTTACTGGAGTCCTTCTAGGTCTTAAATGACTGAAAGAAGCTAAAGCTCACATACACTACTGAATGCCACCCACTTTCTTATGATCAGGCTGAAGTGTTCATGAAGTCAGGATCCTTTGGAAAGCTGTCTGCAAAGAACCAAGGAGCATACTGATGGATTGGCTGCTGAGCCAGTGCCAGGCGCACAGCACAGGGACAGCCTGCAGGCTATGCCCCTGGCAAGGTCCTTGCTGTTGTTTTTTCCTATTCAATCTTACAACAAACAACCGAGCTTCAGAAGGAAGCATTCCCTTCCCCA